TACATTTATTTAATATTTTTTTAACATTTCTGAAGCCTTTATTTACAAAAGCTTTAAAAACAAATAATACCCTCTGTTTTGCAAATAATGTTTTGTTTAAAAAGGACCACCCAGTAACAGCATTGTAATATGAATAAAAAATGTACAAGGGAAACAAACTAATGTTTCTAACACTTGGGGATTTGCTAATATTACTGATCGAAGTGTAGGTAACACATAATAACTTGTAGTCCATCATTTTAGGGTAGAGTTAAAGATTACCAAAAAGTCTTCCTACACATGCTCTGGTCTGGTCACATATTCTGCATGGCTAAATATTTCACAGTCTCTTTTGTCAAATATATATAAAATAGATTGCAAAGATATACACAAAAAAAATAAACAAGCATTACACTCCTCAGGTAATTTTATTAGCTATATATGTGTGTTTGTGTGTGTATATATATTTTGTGTTTTGTTGTTTCCCACCAAATCTCTCCAGTATTTCTTTGTAGCAACTATGAAAGCACAATTTTTCTCTTTTAATTTGATACAAAATATACCTAAAGACTTGTTATCTTTGGACTTTAATGAAATTGATCTGTATAATCAACAAATCAAGAGCATCATAAGTATGGCTATAAAATAAAAAGGATTAACAGTGATGGAATAAAAAGCAGWTCAAGGGAAGTGTGCTATCATAAAATAAGTGTAGCCTCTTATTGAATATTTTTAACAATAATATTTAATATTCTGTTTGGTTTGATATTTTAAGCTTTGTGTGGTAGCATATGCCTGTATTCTCAGGCATATTGTGAAGTTATGAGGGTACCTCATGAGGTTTTTGCTACACATACATAATTCTCCCTTTACAGTATAAAAGCAGTTATATATAATATATAAATGAATATTGCTGTGTCCCATAAAACTTTATAGACATTGAAATTTGAATTTTATTATATATCACAGAATATTATTTTTATTTTTTTCAAAACCATTTAAAAATGCAAAATATTTTTAGCTTGCCATATAAATAAAACAGGTATAAACCAGATTTTGCCTGTGGCTCATAGTTTCCCCAAAGCCAGATACTATAAGCTATGAAAAGTTCAGAAATCAAATGCATTCATTTATATATATTTCAACATTTTATTATTTCAAAAAATCAGTAACTTAGTTTTTAAATTTTGTTATTTCTATCTTTTCTCTGGCTATAAACGCCCTACAAAAAATTCAAACAGTACAGAAATGTCTATAGAAATTAAAAACCTAATTCTTTTTTTTTTTTTTTTTTTAAATTTTATTTTTAGTTGTAGTTGCACACAATACCTTTTATTTATTTATTTTTTTATGTGGTGCTAAGGATCGAACCCAGGGCCTTGCACGTGCTAGGCAAACACTCTACCGCTGAGCCACAACCCCAGCCCAAAAACCTAATTCTTTTCCCAAAAGGTTAGTTGCATATTTTCTCCAGATTCTTCTCATATTTACTTCTAACTACTTTTGTAAACAAGAGATGAGATTTTGCCTTTTGTAGATGTATGAGGACTTGCTTAGTTTATAATCAATGATTCTGTACATCAGAACATGTCAATTTCTGTGTTTATTCTTTTGAATGGCCTATAATATTACACTATATGACTCTAATGTATTCAACTTTCTTTTCATTTTGGAATTTGTTGTATCCTGTTTATCCTGCAATTCATTTTAAGTGTTCTTTATAAGTAAGTAGAGTCTTAAACGTGATCATTAGTTTTGAAATACTTTAATTTCACTCTGAGATTTGAGGAGTCAGTCTTAAAAGATGTGCACCCTGTATATAATTTTAATGAGGTCCATTTATTTACAGAACATGTTTTCCACTTTCACTGCTAATTCTAACCAGCCTCACTCTTCTCTTACAGAAAATTATATATAGATTCATTTGCAATGGTTAAACCACATGTGTGATCTTGATTGACACTTGATGATTATTTATCAAAACTTGGCATTTGAGGGTGGGGGTTGTAGCTCAGTGGCAAAGCACTTGCCTCACACATGTGAGGCACTGTGTTCAATCCTCAGCACCACATAAAAATAAGTAAAATAAAATAAAGTCCGTTTACAACAACAACAACAACAAAATATATATATATATATTTGACATTTTGTGGGGACTGGAGTCGTAACTCAGTGGTAGAGCATTTACCTAGCAGGTGTGAGGTGTGAGACCCTGGGTTCAGTCCCCACTACCATCCCCCCCCCCCCACAAAAAAAAAAGGCCTGAATGTAAGTTTTCATACATGAGAAATGTTAATCAAGTTAGTTATTAACTAGAAATTGATGTTTGCAATGTTTTCATTTCTCTTTTTTATATAATCTTATATATTACATTTGCTTTATTGCCATTCTTTTTCTATAGTAATTCACATGACTATCTTTWTTTTAATAATTTTTTTTGTAGATGGACCCAATACCTTATTTTATTTATTTATTTATTTATATGTGGTGCTGAGGCTCGAACTCAGGGCCTCACGCATGCAAGGCAATTGCTCTACCACTGAGCCACAACCCCAGCCCACATGACTATCTTTTAGTCAACATTCATGTATTGGTAAATACCCCTTTAATTTACTCTGAAACTTACTCATTTTGCAAAGCTTGTGGTTGATTCTTTCAGTTGATTTGGTTTATGCATTCCTAGGGTAATCTCAATAGCAAAGGATCAGTGAGCTTTATCTTGAAAGCTGTCTTTTTAGCTGGTAAGTTATTAAGCCTTCCTCTGAAGGTTCTGTTGATGTTTGGAGTAGGATAATAACTAGGCACTTTAAATAATGTTACTAATGATATGAAAAATTGTCACTAATTTTTTTTGGCCATGAGTTTGACTTCCTATGTGATTTTTCATTATTCCCTCCTAGTTCCCTGAAAATTATAAAACAAGGTTTTAATTTATAAACAAGAAAGAGATTTAGGTAGACATTTATTGGATGCCAAGGATAATGTGGTTCTAAAGAAAATTACTCCCCCCACCCCTAGAAATTTTGATTTGGTAGGCCTAGAGTTTTGATTTGGGGTCCCCAAGTATACCTTTTTTTAGGAGAATGCTTAAGTGATTCTTTGGCTCTTAGGTGTGTGTCTATACTAATTGAGACTGTTTATATCATAGCATCTGGTTTCCTATACTGAAGAGCAGGAATTGTCCCATTCTTTGTTTCTCTCATAGATAGAAATTTGTTAGGCGTAGAACTGGAGTTAAGCCTTCAAACCCTCCCTCTCACCATAGGGAGGCAACATAAATATAGTGGAAAGAAACCTGATTTCAGATCATGGTATTACTATAACTAGCTATTGAACAACAAGCAAATAATTTCTCCATGTACTTAGCCTACCTCTTTTCTCTACCCCATTTAACAAATGAGGATAATACCTATTTCACAGAATGTGCTTAAATGAATGATACACAAATGTGAAGAAAGGAAATAATGATTACATTGGGGTCACATCTCTAAAGTCCTTTTGACATTCTGTGATTGGTTGTATATTTAAATATAATATAGAACTGATATTCTTTTCCTCTTTCCTTTTCCCTCTAGTAGGTGTTTCCTTTCTCTGGAGTATTCCTTTCTTGTGTCTTCTGTGTGTTCTTTAGATCTTCCCCATTACTTCTTAGTACTTGCCCTCTCTTTCTTGCTGTGGTCTAGCTAGCCCTCACAACCTCCAGGTCTCTGATAAGCTGATGAGAAGGGAACTAAGTATGATTCTGATTCAGAAAATACACAGCTCCACCCAGTTTAGGGTTATAATAGTCAAGGGCATTTTAGATCATCAAAAAGCAGCTCCAGAGTTCTTAGGACTAGAGAGCATTAGAAAAAAGTTATCAGGCTGGTCACGGTGGCGCATACTTATAATCCCAGCTGCTTGGGAGGCGAGAGGATTGCAAGTTTAAAGCCAGCCTCAGCAACTTATCAAGGCCCTAAGCAACTTAGCAAGACCCTGTCTTAAAATAAAGTGGTTGGGCTGGGGATGTAGCTCAAGCGGTAGCGAGCTTGCCTGGCATGCGTGCGGCCCGGGTTCGATCCTCAGCACCACATACCAACAAAGATGTTGTGTCCAC